CATTTCCCAGCTTCCCTTGCAGATGGAAGCCAAAGTAAAATTAGGATGAGTCTTTGTGTGGTACTTCCAGGAAAATCCTTTGGTCTTTCATCTTTCTAGGTTTGTTTTTGGTTTTGGTTTTGGTTTTTTTGTGTGTTATCTTTCCCTATATGGAGCTTTTCCATGATGATTGGAAGTCCAGCAACCATCTTATGACTTCATGGAAGATGCTGAAGCAGAAAGGCAGAGAGACAATGTCCCTTCTGACTTCATGAATTGAGCATTGCTGACGTAGACTGCTTACGTCCATACTAGGATGAAAAACTGTGTGTAAACCACCGTAATTTCAGTCCCTCTTTTTAGCACTCCTAATGTTGTACTGAGAGATCCATTTGATTCAGCCAGGGTAAAAATGAAGAAATTCAGAATTCTTAGCTTTCTGCTTTATCCTGTTTTGCTTTCTGGAAAATATTATCTACTATCAGGGTTTCAACTATTACTTCTGAACTAAAGATTCCTCTTTGATTTTGCCCACATCGAACCTCCAAGTTTAAGTATCATCAAAACACGTCCTTTTGGATATCCCACAATTCCTACTTCTTATTGTATTGACCCTCCTTCTCAATTTCCTTATCTTTTAATAGATTTTTCCCAATCAGTTTTAAGACTAAAGCAGAGTTCCTCAAAATCTGTTTCATCTATACCAGAACATCCTAACAAGTTCATTAAGAATGTAGATTCCTAGTCCTAAATGAGGAAAATCTTTATGAGTAACTCAGGAAATTACAGTTTTAATGAGATACCTGAGATCTTACAAACATTAAAATTTAAAATTACTCCTTGAGAACCTCCTTTCATTTTATCCATTTGTCTCCTGTCCTATATTGCTATGTCCTATGGTATGACCTTTGTAAACTCCTTTCCTACTATTATCCCTTACACTCTTCCTTTAACCCTCCTGACTCTCTTGACTTGGGGATCTCTGCTGTGACTGTTTCCTCTGCCTGGAACACTTTTTCCCTAGATCTTCACAAGGCTAACTCCTTCATTTCCTCCACGTCTTTTTTCAGTGAAGGCCAACCTAACCAATCTATTTAAAGTTGGAATCCATCCACCAACCTTAACGCACTACCTTCTTGTTATATTTCCCATAGTACTTACTACATAACAAATTCTGTATTTGTTAATGTATTGTGTTTGGTCTCTTGCCTCACTAAAATGTAAGGACCTCCAGAGCTGGGCCTTTTCTATTTTATTCACTGATGAATCCCAAGTACTAGGAAGAGTACTTACCGGAGCTCAAGGGATACTGCTCACCTGAGTTTACATTTTACTTAGAAATAATCTGTGATTCCTCCCTTTCCATTTTCACTGCTCCACTCCAAAACTACTCCTGGCCTTTGTCATTACTAGACTTTTTCTTTTCCTTTTTTTTCCTTAATGCCGGAGTCTATCTACAGTGCCATTCTGTCCAAAACATCCAACATCCAGAATGTATCTTTCTAAGATACTTCTTTGGGGACGTCATTCCCCTATGATGATTTGGCTCCTAACTGGGCCTGTTAGATACTATGCACTGGCATCATGCTTGAATGAGAAACGGATTAGACAAACTCTAAGATCTTCAAATACTTGATTCTATATCAAATGACTCATCTTGGCATTTGAAATGGCCTGTAATCTAGCAGGAATCTACCTATCCAAATTTATATTTTACTCCTTCCAAGTTTCTCTCTGCTCCTGGCCAATTTCCTTAAAATCTCTCAAATAAGCCATGTTAACATTCACGATTTTTTTTTCAATTGGTTACTCTTTACCTTCAATACCCTCCCAACTACTGAAAAAAAAAAAAAAAAAAAAAAAAAGAAGAAAAAAAAGAAAAGAAAAAAAAAAACAATACCCTTTGGATATTGTGTGCTACTCACACCTGAAGACCAGAGCCATCTAGCATTATCTGAGCCCCAGACCTACAGATTTAGAATCTATACCTAACAAGATCCCCAGATAAGTTCTGTGCACCTTAAAGTTTGGGAAGCACTCATCCCAAATTATTTCTCAGTGAAGTGTTCCCTGACCAGGCCTCATGCTCTATGTCCTGACCTCCAATGGGATCTCTGTCACCCATAGCAAGCACAATGTTCTATTAATAATATCCTCTCCTAGATTATTTATTCCTTTATTTCATAAAGCCCCCATTTGGATGTAAATAACTTGCACACAGAACAGCCACGCATTTGGCCAATTTGGCTGCAAGGAACAGAAACCCATTCAAGTCACTTCAAGGGAAAAAAGAGCTTATTCTAACAGTACTTGGGAACAGGGACTAGCAAACTCAGGGAGGGAGGGTTTCCAAGGTCGGGCTACCCCTTCTCAGCATCCGTGTCTCTGCCCCATTCTCTCCATCTAATGCATTCTCTCCCCTATTTTTCTCTCTTCACCATAGTTCCTGCTTCCTCATGTCAGCAATCACGTGACCCATTAGAGCCGGCTCCTCTCTTCTCTACTACCCTACTCACCTCTGCCCCTTTCTGCTTCAATTTTCACCCTCCCACTCTAAGCTTAACTCTTTCCTCAAGACAGAGGATTGCCACAGAGAAGCTTTTTGAGCCAAACCACGAGGTTACAAGTGTCTGTGCCACTATGGAGTGTCTGCCCCTGAGTCATGAGCCCATCCTACTCCCTCATCAGCCGAGCCAAAGGGGTTGCAGTTCAGAACAAGGCCCTTTAGGCAGCAGGAGCTGTCCAAGGAGAATATTCCTTAAGAAAAAAAAGTGTGGGGGCGCCTGGGTGGCTCAGTGGGTTAAGCCTCTGCCTTCAGCTCAGGTCATGATCTCAGGGTCCTGGGATCGAGGCCCGCATCGGGCTCTCTGCTCAGCAGGGAGCCTGCTTCCTCCTCTCTCTCTGCCTGCCTCTCTGCCTACTTGTGATCTCTGTCAAATAAATAAATAAATAAAATCTTAAAAAAAAAAAAAAAAAGAAAAAAGAAAAAAAAGTGTGGGCAGGGTGGGCAGTGAGCCATATCTCCAGCTCACAAAGTCATTATTTATGTTGTCTTCACCGTAGTCCTGAGCAAAATACTGAGCACATAATAAACTGAAATCAACCAATATGGGAGGCAAGGGTCATTCACCAAGCTCCACTATGACCCTGACACTGTGCTAGATGCCCAGAGAATACAAAGATTAAATAAAAACAGTCCTTATTTTGCCAGAGCACTACATCCAAAACGTGTCATTGAACTAGCTACTTGACCTTGGGCAAGTACCTCAACCACCTGGGCCACAGTTCCTTCAACTATTAGATGAGACCACCTTCACTCATCTGCAGGAGTGTGGTAAGATTCCATAAGGCAGGCTTTCAGAAAATGTTTTGAAAAATACATGGGACAATCAAAAACAATACCGTAGCCTTTTAATACTAAAAAAGTCCTCTCCTATGTCACAGGTTTTGCATTGTTCTCTGGTCTTTTCTCTCTTCCTCATTTCTCACAATATAGGATTCATCAATGACTGCTATTTGAAAAAACAATCCCAATTATTACTACTATATTTTCATCACCCGTATGGCTTACTCAGGTAGTGATTAGAAACAGTCTATCCATTTCACTAAGAGTTATAAAACAAAACAGAATGAATTGTTTACTGTGTACATTTCAAAAATAACACTATCATTTATTCACCTTTTACCTAAAACTGTAATGTCTTATATACTTTTTTCATTACAGTACAAAGAAGAAATATGTACTAAATTCCTGTGTAGGCCACAGGTCAGTTGTGACTTGTGGAGACACCTACTCACAGCAGTTTCATTTAGTTGCTGTAATCAGTAAACCATAGATATTAGAACTCAATGTCCCCGTATTTTTAACATCAAGACTCTAAAGAGGAAAAACAATAAAATGGCCTGTCGCAAGCCCGGGAGTTCTATTCTCCTAACTGCTGTATCTTTTTACTAAAACCACTTTCCCACCTGCCTCACATTAAAGGATGGGGTGGGGGGAGGGCGCAGACCAGGGATGATGGCAAGATAGGCTATTTCTCGAAAACATGTTATTCCACTCTGCAGGATTCAAGTGCTGGTCTGTGGGACAGCAAAACAAGAAAACAAATATCTAGATATATACAATCTTGGCTTTGCCATAAGCAACATCAAGAAATAATTTCCGAGTGACCATCACTTGCCAGCAAGAATGCCGAGGGCTTCTCAGAGAAACCGAAGAGGGTGCCTCGGCCCTCCCAAAGCTTACTTACTATACCCTCGGACATCTGTTGCTCAGCGCTGACAGGTGTAGCCATTCAACAGCTGGCCCCGGGTGGAGCAAAGGGGACAGCTTCCACCTTGCTAAAAAGTCAGCTCAGCTGGCCAAAGTGAGGATCTCAGGTAAAAGGAAAACAAAAACAAAAAACAAAAACAAAAACAAAATCTCCGATGGAAGCTGGGTGAGACTCCACTGCAGGAGAATTGCAGAGACTGTAATGCACAGAGCCCGCTGAGCACCCAGCCCCAGTTAAGGCTCCTCACGCTCTAAGAGGCAAGGGGCTGTGGATCAAAGGCTCCTGCATCTGGGAAAGATACTCCGCTCCTCGGGGAGCCCTGGTGTGGGGGCTGTAAAGAGGTGGGTGCTGGAGGCGGGGGAGGCGGGCTGGGGATCTGTTCTCTAGGGTGAAGAAGTCGAGCGGAGACCCGGAGGCTTGTGCGCCAGTGGGAAGGGCGGTGGGCAGGACGAGAGCGCTCGGTGACAGGAACCGAATGGTCACGCTGCGGTGTAAAGCAAGCCTTGGGGCTCCGACCGAGGACATCAAATCCGGGGATCTAGAGCCGGAAAGGGGTCTGCCAGTGCACTGGAGGCGACGCAGAGAGAAGGGTCTGCCGCGGACCAGGCGCGACCGCCAGACTTACCTAGGGGAAGAGGTGGGACGGCACATCTTTTCCCTAATACACACACGGCCCGACCCCAAGCTGGCCCCGGGCCACCCCCGTGCGCGCTGCGCGCACAGCCCCGCGCTGCGGCGGCCACTCACCCTCCGCGCGGGAGCGGATTTCCGACACTGTCCTCCGCATGGTGGGCATCGCGGCGACCGCCGCAGGTGGAGCCTCAGCCGGGACTCTGCACCTGTCACGGCGCCGCGCAGGCTGGAGACCTGGCTGCGCGGCGCCGAGTGCTCAGCCGCCGCGCGGGCCCCGTCGCCCACCCAGGGCAGCGCCGCCGCTGGACGGCCCCCGCGCGCCGGGGCAGGAGGAAGAGGCTACGAAGGTGGCAGCGTCCGCAGAGCTAGGCGAGCTTCCCAGCAGCCGCGGAGGGGGCCGCTCGGCGAGGGGAGGAGCTGGGGTGCCGGCGCTGGGGGAGGGGTCGCCGGGGCGCGCGCTTACTCGCTCCCGCGGCAGCGCGGCGGCGGAGTCGGGAGAGGAGCGGGGAGAGACCCGGGAGAACCTCCTCCTCCCCGCCCCGCTCCGGGCCGTACCATTCCTGAGGGTGTAGGGTGGGCAGCTCCCAGCCTCCTCTTCCCGGCTGGGCGCCCTCGCTCCGCCTCGCAGCTGCGGCTTGGCTTGTCCTTCGTCAACACCACTCTGACTCTCCTAAATCTTGACCAGAGGGGAAGGGGTGCTTCGGCGCGTGCATCTCCCCGTGTCCCCTCCCGCTACCCTCTGGCTTGTAATAACAATGGAGTTGCCCGCGGTCTGGAAAGCAGTGTTGGGTCTGAGTGGGCCGGCGAAGGGCGAGAGGGTTTGGGACGCCAAGGGTTAAGTTCCAGCCCAGGCAATGGAAGGAAAGCGCGAGTTTGCCGCCTGGGTGGAATTCTAGCCTCTCCGGGCGGCCACCAGCCCCCGCCGCCTGAGCTGCACTTGCTTCCTCGTCTGGCCCGCGAGCAACAGGCTCTGAGGCCGGGCTCACCCCGGAGCTAGTGCTCCTCCTGCCGCTGGTGCCTGGGTGCGTCTGGAACCCCTGCGAGTGGGCCGGTGCGTCCCGCCAGCGCGTGCTCTGTAGCCCAACAAAGCTCCGGAATTGCAATAAATTTAACTATTGGGCCAGGTGGTTCAAAAATCACTTTTGGTTTGGTTTGTTTCGGGTTTTTGCTTTTACTCAAACCTGCAGGAAGTTGGGTGCAGTAGTTTTACCTGAAATATATTAGGAAATGTCCTAATATTAAAAATCCATAAATATAGACGAGATTTTAATTTCCTTCGTATCCTAGAGATCGTCACAACTTAATTACCTCTTATTTTTTATACCGAGGTCTATGCTAACAAGTATGGAGACCACTATGGTAGAGGTATATATACATTTGCTGATCTTATCATTGAGTTAGGATGTGAGGTTTTATGTAGATTCTGGTGAGCTGCTGAAATGGTAAGAAAGGAATAAATTAAGTTAGAAGCAAATTGCTTCTTCCCTCATCTTGTGCTCTTGGTCCAGCTCCCAGTGGAAGAGAGACCTTACATGGAGGCCTTTCACGTGAGCTGCTTTCAGATCCTGCAGGGAGAGATCTGAGGAGGCTTGACCACAGAGATAAGTGATTATTCCCAAACCTCAAGAAAAAGTGAAATCTACTAGTAGCATCTTATCTCCATTTGTGGTATTTCCTTTGCCTCCTGCAGGTAACATTTGCTAATCAGGGCCCTGCCCTACAGGAATACTCTTGCCAGGCGATCAATGATCAATGCATATTTATGAAGAGACCACTTGGCTCTGAGTCAGAGGCTGGGATTAGAACAAAGAAAATGTATTTCCAGGATTCGTGGAACATCAGCAAGGGTAGAGCAGGGCTCAAGATAACTGTGTTCTAGTGATGGTCATGATTTGCACGTTATGTTCTTATAAAAAAAAAACAAGAAATGAGCATGCAGTCTTCTTAGGAAGTTGTCACTGGCCATTTTTATTTCTTCCAGGTCCAGGACCTCCTGTATAAAGCAGGCATCCTCTGACTTGATAAATATGAGTCTGGAACAAAATTAAAAGGGTAAGTACAACTTGGAGACAGTAAACAATGACAACAATAACAACAACAACAGAAAACAGCTTTAAAAGTTAGTGAACAGAAACTAGAGATAATGCTGAGCTTTTATGACTAACATTTTAGGTGTAATTTTATGCAAAGCCCGTGCCAGTTTTTATTCAAAACCAGTGCAGAGCAGCATGCCAGTATTCGATTTATGAACAGTTACCTTTGTAATTCCTAACAAGCCCTCAAATGAAGCTCAGTTCTGCTTATTTACAAATAATAATTAACTGAAGGGAGTTCCAGAGATTACCTGTTTTCCAGACAGCAATCCAGTTTATATGTATCTCTGTGTTTGTGTGTCCCATTAACAACCCATCAGTGAAAATGACAACATAGGCCACTTGTACAGGAAATGACAACTGCCTTTCATACAGAGAAGATCATTGCATGATATAGACTGTATCTTGCTGTGTGTTGACTCCCAGATTATTCTATCACTATATCTCTAATGGTAAGAGTATCCCGACAAACTCATTTCTGAAAAACAACTCATTCCTGATTGCTAGAAATCACACACATTTTTATGAGGTCAGAAACCTGATTGACAAAGAATACTGCACTAATCTACATCGGCTTGATTTCAAAGCCATCTCAGATGATTTCATCTTCCTTTGGTGAGCAAAGTGCAGTGTGCCAGTCCCTGGCACGGGACTCTGGTTCCAGCACCATGACCTTGTCACAGAATCTGTAGTACCATTCAGATGTCAGCAAGATCATTTCAAAGCTTTCAGGTCCTATGACTACACTACTGGTAGATTTAGAAGGAAGAGGGTTATTCAAGGACATCTTCTCCAAGGACCAGGTTTTATCATCCTCCACAAGATATACATTAAATGCATAAAATGTGTGAGGTGCCAAGCCAGAGTGCTAGGTGACAAAGACACCTAAATCAGATGTGAGAGCAATGTAACAAATGTAACCAGCAATGTAATGTAACAAAGTGGCTGATACTTAATGTCCAGTAGTCCACAGACATTGAGAAAAAGAGAGAGTCCAAGAGCTGAGGTGATCAACATGATTGAACTGGGTCTTAAAGTCAGGGTTAAGGCTGTAGAAATGAAACAGAGACATTATTTCAGGTAGGAATGCTTAGCATATAGTAAATACTCAACAGTGATTGTTTAGTGAATATTTAAGGGAAACAATGATCGAAAAACCTATATCCTTGGGAGGAATAGAGAGATCAGTTTGACTATGATAAAGCTTCTCCTTGGAAATCTGTACACTTTAAATGGGTGACTTATATGCTATGTGAATTAGAGCTAAATAAAGATGTTAAAATATGTCTTTGCCATTGTCAGGCAAAAAATTACCAAGTCCAGAAATTCAAAAAGAGATGTTAGAGGATATTCCTACCTTGGTGGGTTTTCACTTACCTGATGTTGCCTGAGTTGGTTGTTGTTTGGGGCCACCAAGGATTAAGACTTTGGTCTCCTTTGGGAGGAACTCATAGTCATGTAGGTGAGAGAGGAATGCTGATTTGCTGATTTATATTACAGCCAAAAATGCTTTGTGAACTTGTGGCCTGAAGGTGTTCTCATGCCTGAGAACCCGGCATCCAGTTAGGACTGAGGTGTGGAAAACCTATTTCCACACTCCCATAAATTACAGATGCTGAATAGTGCTGGCCACTATACTCTAAATTCTTCTGCAGATGCACAGAATAACTGGATACATTAATGTTAAATTATTGATAATTATAATTTTAGTTGAAAATTGAGGTTAAAATATGACATAACATTCTATCAAATTGCAAAGCTACCTGGTTATTGTAAGAAAAGATGCTTATTACCTTTGGTGCATAGATGGTATTACACTGATTCAGCAGATAGGGTAGGGTTAACATATTATATTATTAGATTTGTAAGGCGTATTTCCCAAGTCTTCCCATCTTAATTGCTCTCTTTCTGTCACCATCCCTTACATGCACATCCCTCCAATAAACCAGAAAATTCTTTAGGCTCTGTTTCCAAAATATATCTTAATTCTATCCACTTCCCTTCATCTTTGCCACTCTTGTATACCATGATCTCTCACCTATAATAACCTCCTCACAGATCTGTCTGCTTTTATTTTTGTCACCCGTTCAAATTCTAGGTGCCGTGGTTATTATTTTCAAACACAAATTGGTTTATTTCTCAAGACTCTTCAGTGGCTTCCTATAGCGCTGGGAATGAAACTCATACCCTTTATGTTTTTTCTCCTTGCCTTTCTCTCAGATTCATCTTCTGCCCCCTCATTTGGTCACTGGGCTCAGATTATCCCATACCCAACCCCAACTTAGATTGCCCTGTTTCCCGGAGTGCTGGCCCCCACCACCTTGTCTTATTCCATCCTTCTCTTAGCACTTATCTCTATCTGAAGTTTTCTTATTTGCTTGTTTACATGTTTATGAGAAATAGGTCTTGCTACACTTGTCTCAATTCCAATTAGTGTCTGTCATATGGCACAGTATCAATACATATTTGTAGAATGAATGAATGAATTGAAAATTGTGTGTACTGCAAATGATCTGGTTCCCTAAGATTGGACAGTGGACATCAGTATCAGAATAGGTAGCATTCTATTTGAAATGATAACAAGTTATGCCCTTCATCAACATGTATACTGGAATGTATTACTTTGTCAGAATTATTTACATGAAATAATTTAGAGCATATTTGTCATGAAGTACTTGAGATCAGAAAAATCTTATGAATACCATATTGGCTTTTGTCAAAATTAAGTGATGAAATTTTAAAAACAAACCAATTTCAACTAAAAGCTCTAAATCTGTTGTCATTGAATAATTCAGGCACTTACTCTTACTCAATGATAAAATCAATACTTTCTCTCATGCCTATGATTCATTTCTCATGACTGTATCATCATTTTTTGTTCCAACACCTTAGCAAGGTTTTAATTCAAAATTATAATGTTTTTAAACATTATTATCATCTTCATATCCTTGGAATCTCCAACAAAAAAGTACAATGATATTTTCTTCACTGTAATTGAAATACTTTACTCTTGTTTAAATGAAACTAGAATTTTAAAATGTGGATTTGTATTATATGAAAGGACTTTAAAAAATTTTTTAAAAAGATTTTATTTATTTATTTGACAGAGATCACAAGTAGGCAGAGAGGCAGGTGGGGCGGGGGCGGGAAACAGGCTTCCTGCTGAGCAG